TCTTTCAGGATACTTGATTTTACGATCTCTGATCCACCTTCCTTCCACGAGTTTAACTTCGCTTGATTGAGCCACCTTTCGCAAACACGTTAACTTTCGGTTGACTTAATGATTTGCTTATTAAATTCGTATTTAATCGTAACCGATTGTTCAAATATATATCTTAGAGAGGAATCGAGGCTAAACATTGTAAAATGATTGAATAGTACCTACAGTGACTTGTCTTGAAAGATTTCTGTGTTTAATAATAATTCTTTTAACTCTGACTTGTTGGAATATATTGCCATATAGATGTACTGAGAGCAAAATTTTTGGTATTTGTAACTATAATACATATTACTATAATTATGACTATTATAATAGTGTCTGATAATAACTGTATATATAGTTTTATCAACCAATATGTATAAACTGTATTAATATGGTTGTCTCTCAAAAATGACTATGTCATTTATAGTTATTTGAATCATTTTTATGGTTATAATTATAGCAATTTTTCAGTTGCCAATTATATATATTGGCTGATAAAATTATTATATACATATAGTTATTATTATTAATATTAGTAGTACTAATTATAGTAGTCATATAATAATTATGATTATATTAGGTGTTGGAATTAATTCGTAGCGTTTTTAAATGAAAGAATGTTATTTATTTCACATGAGCATTAAAAAATACATTAATGAAAGTACTTCCCATCACTTGTAAAACGCTATGAATTAATTCCAACACCTAATAGTAATATGTAATTATAGTTACAAACACAAAAATTTGTTCTCTCGGTGTGGAATATATTCTCTAAATCTGAATCAATGGACAATCACTGATTAACTCAAGTGTACCATTGAACAACAATCAGTGAATTTACAACAAAATTCATCTAAAAAAAAAATCAATAAAATGTGGAATACCTACCTGGCAAATCTTGCTTTAGTATGTGTAAATTCGATGTACCTCTATATGTTACTGAAACTGACGTTTGCAAATATCGGTATTTTAATTATATAACGCTCAAACTTTATTTCTTTTTTAGTTGAATTTTACAGATTGAGATTTAGAGAGTAGCGTATTCAAATTCTTTTGATGTACAATATTTTTGAATTCATAAATGTAAACATAATTATCGAAAATTCATCGTGACCCATTTTCGCGAGGAACGATCTCCGGTCTAGAAAGATATCGAAGTAATTTACGTCACGTGCCCCAATAAAAACTGTTCTCACCTTCGCGTGTGGAAAAATTTGTTCAGAACTCGATCTACGAGTTTTGATGCCGGCAAGGGGAAGAAATTTGAAATGTTCCGTTTCCACCAAGGAATAATTGTTTGCGATTCCGGTCACGAGTCACCGGAACTGAGAGCCGTTAAGCCGGAACTAATTGAACTGTTGTTAAGGGGAGACGGTCAGAGGTGAATGCAAGGGTGCTGTAACTTGGGTATTATAGAGATTCTCTGACAGCGTAGCACCAAATCCCCGGTGATAGATCCCGCGACATGATGGCCCTGCAATGTCCGGAATCATTAATACAGTCTGTAAATTCTCGACACAGTTAAAAGCATCGGATATTTTAACATCGATGCCAAGTTTTAATCTTTTATGCAAATAAATCCAATTAACTATGCATAATGCGTTAAATTTATATTTAGCGTTAACATGTACCACTTTTTGAAAATCCTTCAATCGATATTTACTTACGAAATTGTACGTTCAATGAAGCAAGTTATCGTACTCCATTCAAGATTAAAACTTTAACTTTTCTTTACTTTCATATTATTTCTGAAAATCAACTCAAACATCTCAAATACGTATTCATGATTCGAAAAAGCCATTTAAACTGTATACGTTGTAACTAGAAGTTCTCATCAACGAGATGGAAAAAAAAACGTTGACAGAAATGTGGCGGAAGTGAACTGTGACAGGATTTTTGTTTTGTTCCGCGGCTAGAAAAAAACATTTCGTGGCGCGAAACTCTTGACAGGTGGCACGATGGTTGGCTGGCAGCCACCCTCGTGATCTGGATTCGTTCACGTGAATGACAGAATCCGCCATATACATGAGGGTGTAATAATATCGTCAAAAGGTGCTGCGTTACTTTTGTACGAGGTGCGGCAGCGAGTCCGATAAAGAGGTGCAAGAATAAAAATAAGAACAAACAAGGAAACAATTTCGGTCTGAACGAGTGCACCCATTGACTGTGACGCCAACCAGAGCCGTCAGAGCGAAAGAAAGAGAAAAAGATAGACACTCGAAAACAAAGGGGACCTGACGGCTCCCTATTTTGTACTTTCTGTGCGTTACTGCTCCGCGTTATTCGGCCGAGGATGTGAATGCCAGTACTTCAGTAAATGCTTTCCGTCGCGTCGCGCCGGTTTGCACGAAGTTTGCATTTGTAGGAACGTATGTACGAAACCAGAATGAGACTGTCCACGCACATGCGGTTACGTTTATTTCGTAATGGAACATCGTGGTTTTTGGTTGCCGCCGTAACACTCACGAAAAGCATTTTGATTCGTACACTCTCGTGTTTATCTATTTCACATAGTATATTGAAATTTCTTTATCTTTATATTGTCTGTCCATGTTTATTTAAAGGGAATTCCCGAAATATATATTAAGAAATGAATCATTTATTAGGTGTTGGAATTAATTCGTAGCGTTTTTAAATGAAAGAATGTTATTTATTTCACATGAGCATTAAAAAATACATTAATGAAAGTACTTCCCATCACTTGTAAAACGCTACGAATTAATTCCAACACCTAATATATTTTCTTAGAAAAAAAATTATAGAACTCTTGATGAGATTGGAGTTTACATGAACCGCAGAAGAATTAATTCCATTATGCGTGTCTGCAGGAAGAGTCATCTGATCGTGCGACGACTCACGTTGCGTCTAATTCGGATTTACGAGCGCCGCGTCGAAAGTCGACGGAGAGATGCAGCTTCGTATCTGGTGGGACAGATAATTGTTTTCCACGTTGTACCGGGAAAGCATACGTCTGATGTGGAGGGCGTGCACGAGCATCACTGCGGAAAAAGCAGCCAGACATTGTTCTCGTTGAGGGCAAAGATGAGATATCTGCGAAATAAAGTTCGGTGACGATGACGTTCACATACAGACGCGCGTAGACAGACACGCATGGTTGCGAACGAAAGGGTAGGTGAGAGGAAAGAGGGTGTGTTAGGCTGGGTGTCTGGTCCTATTGTCTATATACGTGGATAGGCTGTCTCTTTACTAACTGCAAGTCTGAGTTTTTTCTGAGGGATGGTAGAACAGCAGGGAGAGGAAGGCTGTAAGGGAACGCGAAGGGCGTGAGTCGCCTAGGGGTGACTTGGTTGACGACGCGACCCCCAATGCGACTCTTCGTCGCGCAGACAGCAAACTGGAGGGGCGTGCAGGTATTTTCCAACACTCAGACTTGCATCACTCTACGATGTCTTTCACTTTCGATTGTCGTACGCATCGCGATGTGTTCCGACGTTATTCAAAACATAGACCGTACAATTATTTTTACTTCATTATTCTTTTCCCTCAATTAATGTGGAAAAAATACGTGCAACTGAAAATGTAATAGATCTGAATTATTTCATTTCTTATCTTAAAGAATTATTTTTTCATTAGATAAGTCCTCGGATAAGTCTTTTGATATTCTCTAATTTTTTCGGTATAATTAGAAACTCGATTAGAAAACTATAATTCGATGTACGAAATAGAGCTGCAAGCTGTAAAAAGGAAAATACTGTTTAGCTTATACACGCAATGCAGCTTTCCATCTTTCTGTTTATTCTAGCGGTGCTATGCATCATCATAACATGTAATTAACTTGCATTACACCTAGCCTGTTGTTACAGAGGCAGGTATGTAGTCGTATTTCGAAAAAGAACACGTTAATTTTCTTCGTTAAATTCTCATAGTCTCTTAATATTCCATAATTATCTACATACAAACGCAACAGTGAGTTCGCATCAAAATACGATCAGTGAAGAATATTTTATACTTTATATTTGTAATGCAATTCTAGTCGTCGATAAAGTAAAACTTGTCAATGGGACATAATCGCCATGACTTACCGTAAATAATCCAGAAATATATAATACTATACTACTACGTCGTCGTATACTCGGACATAATCGAAGTACTCGAGCTGTAGGGCAAGTCGTCTCATCAAAGAAGACGGAGAACGGCGGGGGATCATAGTCATCGTGGTATCCTCGTTCTATCTCACGAAGTGGAGTACGTGCAACTACTTTCTTCGCGCTTCCTTCTCTTTTTCCAGACTAGTTCGACTATCCTTCCCCGCCGACCTCCCTGCTCCAGCTTTCCTCATTCCGCTTTGGACGCGCTCTACGACCACCAGAGGCGCGGCAGTTTTGCCGATTTAAGGTTGTCGAAGTTATAAAGCTTCTCAAGCGTTCCCTCGGGTTCGCAAGTTTTCTTGAAAGTCCTCCGTTCTCCAGCTACCCATCTCCTTTGCTTCTCCACACTCCCAGCTCGCAGCCTTTTTCCTCCGCGATTACCTGTAACGTGTCAAAGGAGTAATTTTCCTGTTTCGTGTTTCAAGTTTCTCTTGGTTACTTACTTGTAAACGAAGATAATGCTTACTGCAGTTCTACCATGGGGAGAATCTTAAGTTGCTCGTATCCGTAAACTGACATCAGGATTATGAAGAGTCCTACACCCTCGTAAACATACCGTACACATATTTCAGCACACATTCTCATTGATGGATCACCTACGCCACATCTAGTTGGCTTGAAGGGAAGTTGGAAGTTTTGAATAGCAAGCTTATGCACCTTCGCTATTGGCGCGGTTATACATATAGGGGGGAGCGTTTAATAAATCTAGGAACTTTTCAAATTTCCTTCGCAGTAACTTTTGAAACACTTTGTATTTACTTTTAATATATTTTAAACAAACAGGAAACGCCTGTAATTAATAATAGGTAACTATCTCGAGTTGACATTTAATCAATCTATGTAATATTTTTCTGTTCTCAGATATGCTGCCTACAATTGAACGTTGCTGGTTTGTTGGGATAAGAATGTTCCTGCGTCGTCGCAAGTGCGCAGTGTGACGATCATCAGGTTACATGCGATGGAACGATTGTTTTAAAGAAGAACGTGCAGCTGTCACAGTGCAAGCGCGAGGGATCGTGTATCACACGTCATCATCGAAAGGGAAGTCGACGATAATGGTGAGTTTGTCTTTTCATAGAGTTTCTGTGCTACCTCGACCGATTTTGTCGATGAGTCATTATTTTCTGATTATGCAAACGCGATGCATTTGAACGTGAATTCCCGCGAGTTTTCCATCATGGATCAGGATCAGGGACCGAAGCTGAAGGATATTCAACGGATATTAGAGATTTTTCATCCCCCGATCTCCTGCAAATGCGTAG